GAGAGTGGGGTGGGCCCGCACTACTCCGCAGATAACCACCCGCTTCGGTTTGGGCACTCGGGGAGAATCACAGCCAACACATGTATGGCGCATATCTATTTGGTGTCCTCCTGTACCAATATTTGTGTTCAAATACATAAATAAATGGTAAATTGGTCAACATAGACTGGCAGAGAGAAATGAAACTTGTGAATTCAACAAAATGGTCAAAGGTGGTACTATATTCATGCATAAACGCATACACAAAGCTACATGGATCTCACTGGATTACACCACACAGAACCAGATTGACCATATTTGTGCTTGCGTCTACATCGATTAAAACTAACTGAATTCATCAACTCCTAAAGATTAAATACTTGCTACGATTTGAAGTTCCAAGATTTGATTCTTGAAAGTATAATATATGTACACTACTTAAAGATTACATACTAAGAAAAAACAGTTGTTCAGTTTGCTTATTGGTTTTCTAGATAAAAGCCAAACCATGTCAACTATCTCTACCTAGGTTTGTACCCATATTCTACAATATATCGACAGTACAAAAAAATCCTGGCTATACAGATTAATATGATAGGCGATGAAGAGGAGAGTGAACATTACACATGTACTTACATCAATATCAGTCACTACCCTAAAAGGTAGACTTCATTCGCTTTTAACTTTTCTAAACTTCACTCCTGGCTCGTCTTCATCATTAGTGTTTCCATCGTCACAGAAGTTCAGGGATTTGTCGGCACGAATATTTGTTTGCTGATATACATTCTCATTCTCATTATCACTTAATACAGTAAATGTACAATTTTTATTACTGCTATATTGACGAAGTATAGGGGTATTTGACAATTTGTTGTCGACAATCAATTCAGTAGTAGGGGGACTATTCTAAATTAGAGAAGATGAACAAATAAAAATATTAACCAAGCAACTGAAATTATCCAAAACATTTAATAATACTGAGTACAGGTAAGTACGCATAGAGCTAGTCCCGTTCCTATAAGACCACAGTTGACTGGATAACTCTCAAAATCAGCATGGTTGGACTTCAGGATTATTACTGGTACACGAGTTGTGTGAAAATTGATGAATAATCTCAGATGACATTTAGATGCACAGTTTGAGTAAGATGAAAAATACATGAAGTATCCCACTTTATAAGAATGTTTACACAAGATACTGATTAGCTCGAAAGTGCTTTAAACATTTCACTGTCTTTCTGAGTTTTGAGAAAACAAATATTATCACTACTGTATTTGACAACGAAATGTTCACTACTAACAATAATAAACTATCTACTCATGAGTAAAAACTCTCAGTAAACTTACTGCAGCTAATGATCTTATCTTCAATAACCTATCTTGTTGACTTTTCGTAGTTCAGCATTTCCGTTTCCTAACTGGTCAATGTGTTCATTAGCGGCTTGAAGACGAGATTGAATGTCTTTCATCTAGACATGAACAAACAAGGAGAAGACATTAGTAAGTACGTGAATAGACTAGTAAAGATGGTTGGTATTTCCTTACAAATGTTTTTACAACAAACAATGATAAACTGAGAGTGGAATAAAGGGGATAATAAATCGCGTGATTAGAATGGGAGTCTGTGTCGTTTGGTGTGCCTGAAATGTGTCAGGCATGTTCAGCCATCGACTGTACAACACTTGAGTAGATTGAGAAAGAATTTTAATATGATTGGACTAATGAATAGCATCTGGAACATAGACAGTATCAACAAACATGACTCAGACTAGAGGTTAGTAACTTCAAGGACTGATGCAACGTTTTGGTTTGGACGCCCTAACTTTCTCTCATCCATCTCCAACACTAGTCAGCTTTGGGCACCGTGGTAATCGATGCTAATGCATACGTAAAACGCGGCCCAACCATCTCAGTCGATGTGCACTGACAATCTCATCAACTGTTTTACCATCATACCCTGGTGCGGTTTTATTTATTTATTTATTTGAACACATAAATATTGGTACAAGAGAGCGCCAATATATATGCGCCACACAAAACAATGGGAATTCGAAGAGAAGTAGAAAGAAAAAAAATCTAAGGAACGCAAAAGAAAAAGAGAGTAATGACGAAGAGGTACAATCAGAAGAAATCTTTCAGGTAAAGGAGACACAACCACTTTTTATGAAGAAAGTAAAAGAAGGTTACAGCAGGATCGCCACTGGCTTCTATTCTGAGCCATATCTGATAACGTCTCTAGCCACTGTGTAGCACCATCTCTCGGACCCCAGCCAGGGAGTCGTGAAGAACCAACACAAGCCAGTCCTTTGCAGCTTTCTTTCATGCCACGACACCATGTCATGCACTGACCACCTCTCCGCTTCTTCCAACCAGTCCCAGAGTCGGCAAATAATGCACGACGTGGAATTCTCTGGGACGACATTCGGAGAACATGTCCAAGCCACCGAAGCCGGTGTTTCAAGATGGTGACACCAATTGAATTATCATCTCTGTGCCCGAACACACGATGCCGAACCTCTGCATTACTGACATGGTGTTGCCACTGAATGTCAGCAATCCTTCGGAGACAGCGATGATCGAACACAGAGAGTCGTCTAACGTCCTCAACTCGGAGAGGCCAGGTTTCACAAGCATAGAGCAAAACTGCTCTCACCGACGCGTTGTAGATCCGGCCTTTTACAGCCAGACTAACATCACGAAGGCGCCAAAGGTGGCCCAGATTGGCATAAGCCGCTCTGGCTTTCACTATTCGTGCATTGATCTCATCACTCACACCCCCACCAGCACTTATGCAGCTACCCAGATACACGAACTTCTCAACTACGTCTATCTGCTCACCATCCAGGGTGAGTACAGGATTAGAATCCTGCCAGTCTTGTAGAAGTACTTTGCACTTCGAAGGTGCAAAGCACATACCATACCTACGGACATTGATTGCCAACTGATTAAGTGCGGATTGCATGCCTTGGGCATTATCGCACAGTAAGACAATATCGTCCGCATACTCAAGGTGCGGAGCACCTAACTGGTGCTAAAACTCATCACTGATAGTATCTGGGTTCCGATCTCTCGAAAAGTAGGCGGAGATAACGTAAGACATCGTTTCTCACACCGATTTCTTCTCATTTCGATGGGGTTTTCCTATCTAACAGCATATAATCGGCTGTTGATGGGGATCTAATTTGATCAGTGCCACCTAAATTTTAAGCGTAGTGCGACACCAACGCCAGTAGGAATACATGACACCTACAGGGTCCGCGGGTAAACGCATGTGAAACATGCTTTTCAAAGTGACAGATGGAGAGCAAACGTGTAGTGCTTCAATATTCTTAAATACGGGTTTCGGACGTACAACAAACATCGATGTTGATACTTTCTAAGGACATACCCAACCCTATCTGTGTATCCGAACATTGAAGGCCAGTTTGATTGGTATACGTAGTTTCAGACAGACTGTCTCAGTATTCGTAGTCGGTGGTAGCACTTAACTTTCAACCAGTCAATGATATGAGGTCGTTTAGATAGGACAGGGTTTACGCCATAGGAGAGCTGTTGTGTAAGTTGAAAAATAAGAATACACAAAGTGAGGATGTAAGAGAGTAAATAAGTGACGTAATACATAAAACAGAATAAAAATGGATGTCATCCAATTATTGTCAGTGTGATTTATCTGAATGCTAATTAAAGCAAGATAAATATTTCCAGTAGTAATCGTCAGTTGATTTGTCTGTGGGCTGCGATACTGCCCGGGCGCCCAAACCAAGGAAGGTGGCTTTTTAGGGGGCCATACCCCGAATTTTTGACCTAAAGGTCTAATCCACAAGACAGTGAAACAACGTTGGGAGATGCAGCCCCATGGTAATCGGTGACCAACAATTGGTTCGTACGTCATTTGTTCCCTCGGAATCCTGAAGTCCATGTGCATCATTGGTTTGGAATCAGCGTTTCCCAACTCCCCTAGGTAGACCTGTACTCACCAGCTGGGTAAGAGCACCTGACATCCTCTTTTCGTCGTCTCAATTTCGTAAACAACACCCTCACCACGAGAAGGATGTGAGTAGGACTTCCCTGACAGTGGCTGTATACATGTGGCCATGTGAGAGCATTTGGAGAGGCAGAGTGGACCCTCCCCACCCTCGGTCCTACCAGGGCATTATGGTCTGTGATTGAAGACCTCTAGTGACATGGGTTAAAATCAGGCTCATTGGTGCAGGTAGATCAGTTGTTCACACTTTACATCACAAAGTAGTTTGTGATCGACAATCTTCTAAAGCGAAGAGTTGTTCTTTTAGGGATTGGGACCTAGGATGTTTAAATCTTGTGGTTATGGGTATGAATCAAGTATTTGATATTTTTCTAGACATCGTAAATATCGTACAACCACTATGCAGAAGTATTTTACTCTCGAAAAGGTTGAACTTCAATGGTTACGGTTTCACCCCAAGAACGCAGCAAATCATCTTAAAACTAATCAATGGTTTATTTTTACAAATTTACAGAGCAATACATAACATAAATGTTAAAGGTAGATACAAAGAATTCAACCAACCTCAGGTTATTGAAGATAAGATCATTAGCTGCAGTAAGTTTACTGAGAGTTTTTACTCATGAGTAGATAGTTTATTATTGTTAGTAGTGAACATTTCGTTGTCAAATACAGTAGTGATAATATTTGTTTTCTCAAAACTCAGAAAGACAGTGAAATGTTTAAAGCACTTTCGAGCTAATCAGTATCTTGTGTAAACATTCTTATAAAGTGGGATACTTCATGTATTTTTCATCTTACTCAAACTGTGCATCTAAATGTCATCTGAGATTATTCATCAATTTTCACACAACTCGTGTACCAGTAATAATCCTGAAGTCCAACCATGCTGATTTTGAGAGTTATCCAGTCAACTGTGGTCTTATAGGAACGGGACTAGCTCTATGCGTACTTACCTGTACTCAGTATTATTAAATGTTTTGGATAATTTCAGTTGCTTGGTTAATATTTTTATTTGTTCATCTTCTCTAATTTAGAATAGTCCACCTACTACTGAAGACCAGTTTAAAAATAATGAAGGCGAATGCAGTCTACCTTTTAGGGTAGTGACTGATATTGATGTAAGTACATGTGTAATGTTCACTCTCAACTTCATCGCCTATCATATTAATCCGGAGAGCCAGGATTTTTTGTACTGTTTATATATTGTAGAATATGGGTGTAGAATCCAAACTACGATTTGGATGTTGGAGAATAAACGTCCAGGTATGTTAGACACGCGCCCTTTCCCGTCGAAATCAAAACAAGTAATCGGGTAAATAGCGGTTCTGTAATTCATCAGAAATTTATAGATAAATCTTTACCTAAACAAATATTACCACTCGGCTATTCAACCAATAATTGTTCAATCAATCAAATCTAAATTACAATAAATAAAGAAGTTGATAAAGGATGAGGGAAAATTACCAGTCACAACAAATGAACGTTATTCTATCCTGACTGGATAGAACGCACACAAAAGAAGGAGCAAATCAATATGGCTACCGCCAAGAACAAGTGTCAAGTAAAACAACACAGATGCAGTTCAGGAAGAAACACAAACTTAGTGAAGGCGTAAGAAAAACAAAAACTATAATGAAAAAATACAAGTATTAGCAATTCAAACGTAATCAAAAGACAACCATGTACAACTAAGGGGATCCATAGGAACAAAGTGCAAGTATATACATGTAGGGATTTTGACAAACACATAAAGCATTCAAAATGGATCCTACACCCGCCCCCAAAATCCCTCCATATCACACAAGCTACCTTGATGCCTATGGTCATGGTTCATTATATAACATAACACTACAGGAACGAGTAGGACTTACAACAGTACGCCTACTCGACCTACTTACATTGATATGCGAGGAACTAATTCGAGCCTTCAAGGAGACATAATCTACGTATATCTCTTCTGACTAATCCACTGTTCGTACGAACAACCACTGTCCTAACTCTTCCGTTGTCATCTATTTTACAATCTTCAACTACTCCGAAGGGCCATTTTCCACGGGTCGATATGTCCGAAGCCACGATCACAACATCCCCTTTCTGAAAATTGCGGTGTTCAACTAACCACTTTTGACGTTTTTGTAGGCACGGTAAATACTCTCTTAACCACCTTTTCCAAAACACATTAGCAAGATGATTAACCTGTTTCCAACGTTTGTCATATTTATCTCTGATGCTACCTTCTTCGACTATTCCATCACATTCTCTCAATAATAACAAACTATTTGGCGACAAGGCTAGTTTATCGTTAGCATCTTGAACGATCGGAGTTAAGGGTCGATCGTTCAATATCCTTTCAATCTCAATCAAATAAGTCATTAAGGTCTCATCGGTTAAAGTCTGTTCTCTAGTTATCAATAATCGCAGTCGGCGTATGGACCTAATCATCCTTTCCCAGACTCCACCCCTGTGGCTGAATGAGGGCGGGTTAAAATGCCACTGAATCTGCCTAGCTGACAGTTCTTTGTTTATTTTCTGTTGATTCAACTGTCGCACGAATCTCCTTAGTTCAGAGACTGCACCCACGAAATTTGACCCATTGTCACTGTAAATTTCCGCAGGTTTCCCTCTTCTTCCAATGAAACGTAGCAAGGCCATTATAAACGAATCGGTATTCAAACTATGTGTCATTTCAATATGTACCGCTCCGGTTTGCAAGCACGTAAATACACATATCTTTTTTCTAATGGTCTTCCTCTCTTGACCACAAGGGGTCCAAAGTAGTCTACGCCCATGGCTGAGAAGCTATACCATCCTGGTTGAACTCTACATGCTGGAAGCTGGATGATGGTAAATCAGTTAATGAGATTGTCAGTCCACATCGACTGAGATGGTTGGGCCGCGTTTTACGTATGCATTAGCATCGATTACCACGGTGCCCAAAGCTGACTAGTGTTGGAGATGGATGAGAGAAAGTTAGGGCGTCCAAACCAAAACGTTGCATCTAAATATCATCTGCGATTATTCATCAATTTCCACAAAATCCGTGTAGCAACAATAATCCTGTGCTCACTGGTGAGAAGTTATGACTGGTGAAGTCCAACCATGCTGATTTCGAGACAGTTATCCACGACAGGCAATAGAAGATAGTCATATACCATAGTGAATCTGTTGAAGCTAGACAGGTGCACTGTTGGCTTCCGGCTCAGCGTTCAAAATCTTAAGGGCTGGCGCGTACAACCAAAGGTCCTGGTTTCGATCTCCTCTTTTCGGGTCACGAATACGTACCACTGAGGTGTCCCATACCATGAAAACACAGCTGTTTACTGCCTTTCGATTTTCAATAGTTGTTTAAGTTGAGTCTGTGATGCTATTTTTTCAGACTTAATAATCTCTACAAACCCAATTTACCTAAATGAATATTAATTTGGTCAGTTTCCTCTCATGTGAAAGTTTTCCAAGCTGCATGTTCATTTGTTATCACATGTGTAACTTTTAGTGATTAGTAGTGCATTTGAACTTATCTTGAAGTATAAACATGGTTGCACATATCGCCTTATTTTCTCTAGTCTGCTTTTCACGAGCTTTAGTTAGGCGTCGAAGTATTATTGAAGCTAATATTTTAAACAGTATATTAGTCAAACTGATTCCTCTGTGATTGTCACAATAGGACTTTTGTCCTTTCTTATAGACTGGCACAATCAGTGATTGAGACCAGTCAGATGGGATTGCGTCCAGTTCCCAAATTCTACCTAAGACCTCAGTTAATCTCACTGCTAATACTGGACCACCATACTTAAAAATCTCAGGGTTGAACCTGTCAGGGCCTGCTGCTCTCCCTCGCTTCAGATTTCCTATAGCTTCTTCAACTTCATAAAGAGTCGGAGGACCTACATTAACTTGCCATTTAGGCTGACTGGAGATCGTGGGAAACCGAAGTGTGGCTGAAGGCCAGTTGAACTGATCCCTGAAGTGTTCTGTCCATCGATCCAATCTCCTGGATTGAGAATGTATAATTTGTCCATCTTTCTCTGAGAGTGTTTCGCTAACAGTCGGTTTCCTAATACCGGTTTCCCTAACGAGTCTGAACAATTGTCTGCTATGACCTATTGCCGCTGCCTTTTCCATCTCTCTTGCTTTCGCTACCCACCAGTGTTCGCGATCATTGCGTAGACTTCTTGTCAGCTTGCGCTTAAGCTGACTCCGCTCTTCGTCATGTTGAGATCCAGATGGTATGAGTTTTCGAGCATTTATCAGTGCGGTTGATGTTGCTGAGATCCAGTGTTTCTCCCTAACCTTACGGTTTACCGTACTAGTAGATGTCACTGCTGTTTCCACAGCTTTTCGGATATCATTCCATGCTGCCTCGGGGTGGGCATCACCTACATGGCTGCCTAACTGTTTTTCTAGTTGTTCCTGAAATATACTCTTAGTTTGACTATCATTAAGTAGGCCCCTAAGAGGTTTCCTTGCAGCGTCTTTCTTGCGTCCAGTCAGACACAGGCAAATACGCGCTCGCCCTAGAGCATGATCTGAATCTAGGCATGTGCTCCAGAATGAGCGACAGTCTTCTATCGAGCCCGTCCATCGGTGGTTGATAGCGATGTGACCTGAAAATGAAGTCGGATTAATGCCGGCCTTAACGACCTGGGAGCGTGACCGCAGAGCCCAGGAGACAACTGCTTGAGGCCGGTCGCGCACGGCCTTTTTGTGGGAGGTTTTTGACGTGTTAGCTCCGTTCTTCAAATGGCCCAACCACCGGAGACAGAAATCCATGAGGTAAGGTGAGGTGTGGCATTTTAAGGTCGACCTTTTCCAACCCCTTTCTTCCTTGTGAGAAGGCCGCATCGCTGCAGATGCTGGTTGTCCGAGAGAAACAACTTACTGCTGTCACACCGCTCTACAGTCAGCAATACGACTTCGCCCTTCGACCTTGAGTTGCTGCTTTTAGTCTTACCGTTCTCCAATCGACCTGCCTGTCATGGTAGGACCTTGAGGAACGGCTGTTCCAGCCAATATAGCTCGGTTGGGTCATCACGATAGGCAAGCCCGACCACTGCGTCAAGGTAGCAGCTATGGTCGAGTGTCAAAGTTATGAATGGTCTGGAAATACAGCTGCATGTTCATTTGTTATCACATGTGTAACTTTTAGTGATTAGTAGTGCATTTGAACTTATCTTGAAGTATAAACATGGTTGCACATATCACCTTACGTCAGTCCATAATGAAGATAGATAATCTTCAAATCATTTCCCTTTACTTAGTACCACTTAAATGTGAACCCTACCATGAAATTAGTTTCAATATGAAATTTATCCTCAGTCAAATTAATCAACATACTTTATTAGTTACACGACAGATAATAGTCCTACCTACCCCTGTTTAAACCGATATTGATTGGTGAATCGGCTTGGTTGAAGTGTTTATAATCAGTGTACCATTACTAAACATTGCTGAATACTGATTTGCAAAGTGTTAACTAATACGAATAATTTAAATTAAAATGGAGACATGAACTTGAGTGGATTTCTGTGTTTTAGTACTATATCCTTATATAAAATTTTTCCTTTATATATTACACCATTGAGTTTACTGCTTCTATGAATCAGGTGTTGGTCTTGCTGTGCTAATGAGATATGGCAACTTGGACCGATGCATGTATGTGCCTGGTCCTACGTTGTAACTGACTGACTTTTAGTATGCAGCCTTGTTTTGAAGGATTTTCACATGAATTGAACTATTTGATCGTAATGGCGCTGTCCTGTCACGGGTATAAATTCTGAAGTAAAAATAACGACTGTACCAGTTGCTCCGGCTTTTTATGTAATATTAAGTGTTGCTGCTATTTTAATATCATCTTGAGCACATTTTTTATGGGTAATATGCATAAGCGTCCATAAATCACTCTGGCCTCATATTGCACCATGTATCAATCAAGTGCATATTTTGTTTAATAAGCAAAGGAACTAAGATCATCAATACCATTTAACAATATTTAGGCTACACTACACTTATCCTCTTGAGAATACTTGTCATTTATAGTATAATGGATCATTGAAAGTATCGCCAAATATCTTTATGAACTTGCTTCTTCCTTTGTGAATGCTAAGCACCATTTCTATTG